ATTATTATTAAGACATGTTCTTCATTATAAAAATTAAACTAAAAATTTAAAAATTAGAACTTAGTCTATTCACAAATAATATTTATAAACTTCTTCCATTCCTCTCTGTTTCTGGCAGTAAAACGTAACTGGTTAAAAGATTTGCTTGTTTCTGCTGCCACTGTTCTTCGCCAGGTGGTTTTGGGACGACCTCGTCTCCTTACTCCTTGCGGGTTCCATTCCATGACTGCGTGGGCAATTGCATCTGTCGGTTTTCTAAGTGTGTGGCCGAGCCAGCCATATTTGCGTCTCAAAATTTCTTTCTCTATTGGCTTTTGTTTGGTACGCTGCCATAGCTCTTCGTTGGAGACTCTTGCAGGCCAATATATGTTCAGAATACGCCGCAGGCTTCTATTGACAAAGGATTGTATCTTTTGAGTCGAGGCCCTCGTAAGCGACCATGTTTCGCACCCATATAATAATATCGATTTGACGCAGGCGTTGAATATTCTGGTTTTAGTTTCGACGCTTACATTGTTGGCTTTCCAGATTTTGTTAAGCGATGCGAAAGAGCCATTTGCCTTTTTCACTCTACTGCTGATGTCCTTTGACGTGCCACCCTCGCTATTGACTATACTCCCCAGGTATTCGAGTTCCTGCACTTCTTCAATGTTTTGATCGTACAGTTTGATTCGGCAGTTTGACAATGATAGACTCCTTCCATTCAAGAGGGAATGACTCTAGTTCCCAAATTTTCTTAAACAAGGGGAGCAAAAGTTTGGACACAGCATTGGGGTCTGCCTTAAAACACTCTATTGGTAAACAATCATTACCTGGTGCTTTACCACTTTTCATGCTAATGATTACACCTCTTATTTCGTTAACGCTAGGTGCCCTTGTATCTATTTGTCTGTTAGGATTTAGATGTCTTCGTATTGTGAGCTCGCCACTTTCGTTGTGTAAGATATTTAGGGTTTTCTCAAAATGTCTTTTCCATACTTCTGCCTGCTCGTGCTTAGCAAACACCAGCTGTCCGTTTTCATTTTCAATTGGAGCGCTGCTTTGGAAAGATTTTCCACCTAGTTGTTTAGTTAACTTAAACAGCTCCTTCATGTCGCCCTTTTCTGATGCTGCTTGCGCTTTCATGCTTAGTTCAACGTAATAGTTTCTCTTGTCGCTTTTGACTGCTTTCTTGATCTGCCTACTGAGACTTCTGTACGTTATGTTGTATTCGGCTTTTTTAAAAGGATCTGCCTCGCTTAACATTTTCGTTTTAACGCACCTTCTTTGAGCAATGAGCTCCCAAGAGTTTGCCGACAACCATTCCTTTTGCTCGTTTTTACGGTAGCCCAGTGTGTCCTTGCAGATCTCTTCGAGATTTGTTTTAATATGAAGCCACGTTTCCTCAATAGAAGCATCCTCCATCAAACTGACGTTGTTAATACGTTCGATCATTTCATTCTTTACCGCTCCAACATTAAGCTTTGTGGTATTATACGTGCGCCGTATATGCTGCGGGTGTTCATACCTATGTTTAGGTATATTAAATTTCAGTTCGGCCACCACTAAATAGTGGTCACTGTCGATATCAGCGCTTCTTTTGTTTCTGACATCACATAGAACTTTACTCCATCGTTTTGAAATGCAGATATGATCAATTTGACTTTCGAAGTTGCCAGCAGGGGACTTCCAAGTGACCTTGTGACACGTTTTATGAGGAAATAGGGATCCTCCAATCCTGAGATCATAATTCATACAAAGTTCCAAAAACAGCTCCCCATTCTCGTTACATGTTCCAATACCATGAGAACCCATTACAGTTCGATACTCTGAGTTATTTCCGCCAATTTGGGCATTGAAATCGCCCATAAGAATAATTACATCGGTTCTAGGAATTTCAGAGAGCGTTCTTTCTAGCGCACTGTAAAAAACTTCTTTTCGGTCAAGTGGACTATCTTCTGTTGGAGCATAGCATTGTACTAGAGACATATTGAATTTCTTTGCGCGAAAACGTACTACTATTATTCTTTCGGATATAGCTTTCCAGCATAAGATTGAGTGCTTAACATTTTTTCTTACGTAAACTGCAACGCCTCGGATGTGAGGGTCTTGTTCGTCGGGCATGCCGGAGTACATAAGTACACCTCCCTTTTGGTTTGTGAATTCACCTGTACCATTCCATCTGACTTCGCTAATGCCAATTACGTCTATTTTAAACCTATCGCATTCAGCGGCTAACGTAGCCATTTTTCCTGCTTGAAACAGAGTTCGCACGTTCCATTGTCCAAATCTTGTCCTTTTTACATTCCTTAAGTCGGTATCGTTTTGGTCAGGCCGGTTTCTATTTCTTGTGAATACTTGAATCTAATGTTTTTCAGCCGCCACGAGTGATTAACCCATAGCTGCCAAGATCGGTGGTAGGGCTGCTACCTTTCTTTAATTTCGTCAATCACCATTTGGCCTCCGATCCTGCCATGATGTAAATGTGCAGCTAGCATTTCCTCTAGACAGCAGATGGAAGAGTTCAGATATCCCGCCGAACACTCGGTCGCCAGAGCCTCATTAGTGAAAACTGGGAACACCGCGGGAAGGTTGAGGTTGACGTTAACTCAAGAGAGGCTATTTGAGACGCGTCTTGAGCCTTGTTTCCTAAGGCTACATTTTCCTATAAAATGTAAAACAGAAATCAGAGATGGTACCTCATCATTAAATTAGTTGCGGTATATATAATTGGTCATATAATCGCTTATGAAAGCTGGTTCTAATCAGAAACTCAATTCTTCACCTTTACCTTGTTATATACTTTGTTATACTTTGGAACCCATGTCAATTTATGGCTAAACTTCGTCAAAACAACTAAAAAGATTTCTTAAACAATTTTAAGTTAGTTGGGATGGCTCAGTATAGATGGCAGCGCAGTGTCTGATTTTATTGTTTATGGGTGTACTCACAAACTTTCAAGACGTTTAAACGTCACATGTATAGTGAATTCTTTTAAGATCTGCTTTATGGCAGCAACTATCACTGGATTCGTCACATATTTCTATCTGAAATCAGAAACATGAAACTGAACAAGTTTTATTGTTTATCGGTGACAAGCATAGAGTCCTTTAGTAAGT